TTATAAACCAAATTCTATAATCTCTGAACTACATTTTGGTCTTCCCGCCAATCTCCAAAATCCAATAAGTCTTTTTCATTTTTCAACCTTCCTTCAGATGGGACTTTATTTATATTAGCTAATGTATTAACTTGACTTAAGTTCTTATGTCTATCTACAAATTAGGCATGTGGTCATAAACACTTAGTACTTCTAGTGAAAATTTTTCAGAACAGCTAGAGGTACGTCCTGTGTGATCGAGGATATTAAGGCTCTTACCAAGAGGCAGTCCCGATCATTCGTACACAAGCTACCACTGCTAAATCCTAACTGACTTAAATTGTATCTTAGTTTATATAGCATAGTTTAAAACATAGAAATATCTGTCGAAGTTTACATAATTTTCAGTTATTTAGTAGTTACCGTAGTGTACTGCTTCTAGACTGTCTAATAATTGCTTTCTGTCCAGCGACAGGACTGTAAGTATTCCATACTACCTACCCCATAATGGCTAATACTACCCTCAAGTTAGCTACACGCTAGTTACTATACCTAGACTTTATTAATTTTCCTATTCTTGAGCTATTACTATGGCTAAAGGAAATACTAAAGGCAAGGGAGTCGCCAGCTCTAAGCCTGCTAAGCCTGTTGAGGTTCCTGAGGTTACTGGGGACGCTGGTCCGTCTGGTACTGAGCCTGCCGTTGAAGCTGTAGAGGAAGTCGTTTCTGAGCTTGGTTCTGAGGAGAATTCGAGGATGACTCGTCGGACCCTAAAGCCTTAGAAGTGAAGGTCTCAACTGCCGCGGAAAGGCTCGCCAGCGTCCGTGTGTCTCCTAGTAGTGCAGCCCAGGGCCTCAGCTTGCCATCTGACCGCGAAAAGTCAGATATCGGAAAGGCTATATCTCCTGAACAAGTGGAGGGATCGACTCGAGATCGACGGTTTATTACTACTAAAATTCAGCCTAATCCACCTATTAACAAAGATGGTGGCGTTCCAGTTCGTGAAATTTCATTGAATGCCTCGCCACTGAATGCCTCGCCACTGAATGCTGGAGCGGAAGACGCAAATGTTGGGGACGCCAAAACTCGACAACGAGTGGTTGGATCTTCTCAATCTCGACGCCATTTGAACCGCAAAAAATGAGCTTTTGAAGGAGCTAGCCGTCGCCGCAGCTTCTGACCCTTCGATCATATCCCACGTGGCAGATATTCTTCCTATACCAAAGAAGAAGAAATCCGAGCCGGGTTTCAAATCTGGGACCCACTGGCTTGCAACTGAGCCAGTTACCGCTGGTGAAGTGGGTAAAACTTCAAGATTTAATCTCTATAGCTCGCAAGCTACTACTGACCATTCTCTCGACAACCCTAGCCCTGTCAGAGGCTATGATCATATGGAAATCGATGAGACTTACCACCCTCAAAACATCGATCCTCATTTACCATATAACCCTGGCAATCACGATCTTGGCAATCGTTACACAAGTACCTCACTAGAGAGTTTCCACTCTAGCTCTGAAGATGAGGAAGTGAGAACCAGACAACTTCGTCTCAGGCTATTACGTTCTGGTATGCAAGTCCTTGAAGACTGTCTATTGAATGACTCTGACCTTGACGATAAGAAAGCGGATAACATACGCTATCTAATCGATAACAAGAGAAAGGAGATAGACTCCATCTTGGCACTAGCAGCCCGTAGCACTAAGCGTGAGCCTTGTGAACGCTTCGAACCAAACTTTATAAAGCAGTTAGGTAGCGCGAAGGCTGAGGTCGATTTCTCTACTAATGAGAGTACAATGGAGACACTGAAGGCCTTTGACCAACTTAAGAGTCTGCCAGCCTTAAGGAAAAGCAGATGATGAATGCCTTTATTCACTTCTGTGAGTCAGAGGAATGGTAAACTATCTTAAAGGCCCATGAGCCCAACTGGAAAGCCCTACCCTGGCGCCAGTTGCGTGAGAATATACTTAACGCCTTCTTTGAAGATGCACGTGACCGAAAACTTCTAGAGTCTCGCAAGTCCTTTGCGAACGAAACTACTATTCGAGGTGCTCTAGCTCATATGACGCATATGAACACTCGGATGGGAGGTCGTACCTATACTGGCGAATATTTATTATTTTGTCAGATGATGGAGACTCTGGGGGCTATTTTTTTTAAGAAGGTCAATGATGATATTATCGCCTATGGTGATTTGCGATTTATGCCTTGGTCTGTCTTTGACAAGATAGTCCAAAAGCATACCAACCCATCTACTAGAGTACTTAGTACCACAAGCTTTACCCAGCCCGCTAAGCGTACCGCGATAGAGAATAACACTGCGCGTATTACTTAGAAACTTCGCACTACTGCTGGAGGTGGTGAAAAGAAGAAGAGAGCACCTTGCAAGAAGTGTGGTTACAACCTCACTAAACGTGATGGCAAGTGGAATGGTGAACACGACTCTGTTAAGTGTGCACCAGGCAAACCAAACTTTGGACACTATATGAAAGAGTGTACTACATGCAAGGGTACTAACGGTTGGCACAAAGATAATTGTAAGGACATACCGGACGTCCAAGTTAAGCACTGACAGTTCAATATGTGTGCACTAGAGCAAGATTTTGAGAAAAAGTTCAATAAAATCTATACCAAAGGAGATGGACGTATATTTCAAACCGTTTATGTAAATAAAGAAAAAGTTATAGCATTTTTGATCTAGAGGCTGAAGTCTCTGCTATATCACGCCGAGTAGCCTACGCTACAGATATGGCTATCCATACCGAAACAACTAATTTAATCTTGGGAAATGGCAAAGTTACCACTTGCGAAGAAGCCATTGACCATGCACACATAATGTTTGTTAGATAGACGAGAAGTAAAGACTCATTTAATCGTTACTGACATGTCTCAGAAATACGATTTAATTATAGGTATGACTGATCTTCTCAGTTTAGGTATGACTCTCACTGATCTACCTAATGGGCTAGCCCTCCACCAACGCTGTGATGACATCAGGAAGAACTTAACAAAACGTTGGTCCAAGAAGGAGATCGCGGCAATGGCCCGGCGTCAATACTACTACCAACTGGTTATGGGTAAACCGCCAACCTCAAACCGAGACACAGCCAGACACGACAGCTTTAATTGCTGCTTCGAGTCTACACCAATCCGGCTATGTGCTATGATTGTAATGAATACGTACATGTTCACATTGCTCGACTACCGCACCGACGGCTGTCTCTGCCCTGTCTGCCCCGGTAGCCACAAGTTCACTACCAGCCACTTTACCTGCATCCAACAACTGATTCGACGCATTCTGGTAGGCCCGAAACTGCCGCCCATTGGCCCTGACCTCCTTCAGCAATTACAGGAGTGCCACAACTTCCACGGTATCTGGACCCTCCACGAACACCTTGAATCTTTTCTCCAGCATGTTGAAGAACCACCGTACCCTCACCCGTCCCTGACACATCAACAGATGTTCCCCATACCCCGGCTAATCACGCTGTTGAAATACTACTTCCAAATATCGGTTCAAACCAAATCATCGCGCTTGTTGGT